TTTGTGTTGGCCTTGATTCCACGGTTATTCCACGAGGCTGGTTAGAGCTCTGCCTGCAGAGGTGGTGCAGATGTGGCTTACTGTTGTCGGAGGGGAAGGTTCCCAGCTCTTGCTATCTCTGCACAATCTGGAGGGTTTAAGGAAGCCTGTCTTGTCTGCTTTTTTTTTTTAATAACTGAAAGTGGAGTCCTCTCTGAATGGTGCCTCGTACAGTAGCGAAAAGACATCCTCACCGATTCCTCGGGCCTTTGATGAGATAGGTGTTTTAGGTCTTCTGTTCTGCTACCATGAATAGTTGGATTGCGCGGATGAGAATACATTGTTTGCTGTTGAAAAGGCGGATGCAGGTCCACTTTCAGCAGAGCGTGTTTGTTTGGTGACCCTGCCTGTGTGTCGGGACCTCGAAGAGGTCCACTGGAAAAGTTGTAATGAGTGGAGTGGGGGTGATCCACAGGGACGGTGGAGTTGCTGGGAGAGACGTGGCATGTGTGGATATGAGCTGTGGTTGGTTGATTGTGGTGTAGGAAGGGCTGTGCTGTGATTTGAAGTTTGGAGCAAACGTGTCTTTTGGGTGAACAGAATTGCAAACATACGGGGAAGAGGAAGAGGATTGGAGATGAGGGGATCATGCCTTAAACCACCAAGGCTTGGAAGCCTTCCTTCGAACTCTGCAGACTTCTGAACGCAGGCACTGGTGGTTTAACAAGGTATAAAGTATTGTTGCAGTTGGAGAGCTCAGTTCCATTGCCAGTTGATGACCTGAGCTCCCTTGGCAAGGAGTCTGTAAGGCAGGGTAGCGCACCACCGCCGTGATCCTTTGTCTTGATGTTTGTGATTGTTCAAAGGAAATCTGATTTTCGGCGAATGAAATAGTTCAGCCGGGAATGCAGTGTAAGGAATGAATAGAGTGAGACCAAATTCTCTATGGCTAAAGAGTGCGAAAAAGACTACCAGTGAAGATTGTAACTGTATTTTGCCTGGATAGAGCCTGCACGGATTCATGGTGATAGAGAGGGAGGTATACTTGAGGGAGTCATGCAGTTGAGTGTTTTCAGTGTCATAATTCTTTTAGAAGGTTGGTTCGTACCTGGGTGCATGACTCTATGGCGCCTGTGGTATATTTAGTGGACTGTCTTCTGTGCCTTTGCGGCTTTTGCGTTCTCTGTTCCGCAGGATGAAGTCTGGTGTTGGTGGGAGCGTTGATCTGACGGGAAGAAATGGGCACAATTGCATTCAAAAGGACTATAACTGGTACCAAATTTCAGGTGGTAGTCATCATCTGTTCTTTTTCTTTTTTTCCTTTTCATTTTTTTTTTTTTTTTTTTTTTTTTTAAGTTGTGGCCATTGTGGTTCGTTTGGTCCCTTTTTATGTTTGATACATTGGATGTGTTGTCCCTATGTGTGGTTTGCGCTTGCTTCTCTTGCCGCTTGCTGCCGAGTACGGACTGGATCGCCGAGTACCAACGCTTGACGTCAGTCCCAGACATCCAGATGGGCTTCAAGGCCATCCGCCACTATTTCATCTCAAGGTCACGTCCGACATTGAGCAATGCCCTGACGCATGTCGAGGACACCTTGACGACGACGGCGGAACTATTCGACAAGGCTGCACAGATCATCGTTACGAACAAGGAGGCCAAGAACCTCCGTTTTTCTGCGTCAGGCCCGAGCGGGAACCAGCATCGGTCACAAGCGGCCGTGGTCGCAGCGGCAGCGCCGTTAGACCAAACCAGCGAGGCTGCGTCTGCCAGTGAAGGAGACAGATTCGCAGCCGCCCGGGAAGGTGGCCGCGCCGGCAGAGGCCGAGGGCTCGGCAAGCCGAAGACACACACCGTTTCTAGCCCCGGGCCAGGTGCAGCAGCTCAGACAAGCCCATGGACCCCGTATGGCCTCTCCGAGTCCACATACAAGGCGCACGAGAGATTCCATTATTGCCTGTGGTGCAACAGCGATCTTCATCTGACGCCGGTTTGCCCACTGAAGGGCAAGGGTCGACAGGGAAACTGAGCACTGCCGAGAGTGATGCGACGACACTCTCGACGCCTTCGGAACTGGCTTCTTCGCGAGTGACCAGCCTTCATTCCGAGACGCACGCGGAAGTCTACAGTCCTCCGCTTCTATTTTCTTTTGAGGATTATGCTGCCCGGCTCGTTCCAACGTTGGGTACTCAAGCTCAAGGACAAGGAGTGTGTGCGGATTCTTCTCCGTCCGGCAACAGCGACATATCGTCTTCAAGTGGTTCGTCATGGGATTCGGCGCGCGAGTTCAAGATAGAGGTTTTGGACCCGCTCACGTCTGAGGACTATGCATGGCTTCCTCTCCCGACCACAGGCTGTTTGCTGGGACCGCAATGCGCAGCACTTAGCGCTCATCTCCACACTTACCTTTCCTTCTATGCACCACCAACTTCGCCGACGGATGACGAAGTCGCGGTGGGGGACATCCTGGCRTAYRYTACCAAGGTGRCCCGCGAGTTTCGCACGCAGCRGTACGATAACAACAATGCAYYGCTCATGTATGTCCGCATCCAGGTTRGGCAAGCGTCYTGCAGCGCTTTGCTGGATAGCGGCGCAACTCGCAACTTCATGAGCCAGTCTTTTATGCAAAGAGCTGGCCTTGGCGCACAAGTTCGGAGAAAGGCAAACCGCGATCAAGTTGGCGGATGGAAAGACGCAGCAACTACTCGACCGTTGCATTGAGGCCGTACCCGTCTACTTCGCACCTCATGCATGCGAACCGGTGACATTCGATATTCTCGACACGGACTTCGACATCATTCTTGGAATGCCTTGGCTTGCAAGTGCGGATCACACGGTCAACTTCCATCGGCGGACTCTTAGCGTTCGCGACGCCTTCGGCGCGGAAGTGGCGTGTACGATTCCTCTACCGCACTCTTCGATCCGGTGCCAAGTGGTGATGGCCAAATCATTCCGGGCGACTTATGCTTACGAGCAGCCCGAGGAGATCAGCATATGTTTCCTACGGACCGTCGCGGTAGCCGATTCTTCACCCATGGACTTGTCTTCGGACCCCCGTGTGGTACGGTTGCTGGACGAGTTCGCCGACATCTTCGAGTCACCTACCGGTGTGGTGCCAGGTCGGCCGATCTCTCACGAGATCATTCTTGAGGCCGGTGTCGTGCCGCCGAAAGTTTGCATCTATCGGATGAGCGAGGAGGAGCTTGAGGTACTCCACGCACAACTCGATGATTTGTTGGCCAAGGGCTGGATCCGCCCGAGTAGCTCCCCATATGGAGCACCAGTTCTCTTCGTCAGGCAGAAGAACAAGGACCTACGATTGTGTATCGACTACGGCAAGCTCAACGTGCAAACCGTCAAGAATGCGGTGCCTCTTCCTCGCATCGACGATCTTCTCGAGCAACTGGGCGGTGCGAAGTATTTTTCCAAGTTGGATTTGAAATCAGGATATCATCAAATCTCGATTCAGCTGAACGATCGCTACAAAACCGCATTCAAGACGCGGTACGGACATTTTGAGTGGGTGGTCATGCCTTTTGGCCTCACCAATGCCCCGACGACGTTCCAGGCGGCGATGACCAATGAGTTCCGTGCAATGTTGGACCGGTTCGTGCTGGTCTACTTGGACGATATTCTCGTCTACAGCCGGACATTGGAGGATCATCTTGGACATCTTCGACGAGTGTTGGAGACGCTCCGCCGTGCCAAGTACAAGGCCAAACGCGACGAGTGGGAATTTGTCCGGCAAGAGCTGGAATACTTGGGCCATTTTGTCACACCGGAGGGCATCAGTCCGCTATCGGACAAGATTCAGGCCGTCCAAGAGGGGACGGAGCCTCGGAACGTCACGGATGTCCGCTCGTTCCTCGGTCTTACCGGCTACTATCAGCGCTTCATCAAAGGCTACTCCAAGATCGCGGCCCACTTGAACAAGCTTCAGTGCGAGGATCGACCGTTTGACTTTGGAGAGGAGGCGCGAGGATCATTCTTCTCTTTCAAAGCCGCGCTATTATCTGCAGAGGTCTTGCGAATCTACGACCCGTTCGCGCTTACGCGTGTCACTACGGATGCGTCAGGCTATGGCATTGGTGCAGTCCTCGAACAACATGATGGTGTGGACTGGCACCCGGTCGAGTACTTCAGCAAGAAAGTGCCCCTCGTGCATTCCATTGACGATGCATGCAAGAAGGAGCTCCTCGCCTTCGTCCACGAGCTCAAGCGGTGGCGGCATTTCCTCCTTTGTTGAAGCTAATGTCGCTGGGTAACGGACAACAATCCATTGGTCTTCTACAAGACCCAAGACACCGTCAACAACACCATCGCTCGATGGATGGCTTTCATCGACCAGTTGGACTTCTTTCCCGATCGCATTCCCGGGAAGTCGAACCGTTTTGCGGATGCTCTTTCACGGTGTCCGGATCACTGTACCGCGGTCTACTCAACCTTCGAGATCGACGACGACCTGCGGAACAGCTTCATCCGCGGCTACCAAGCCGACCCCGATTTTCACGACAAGTACGCGAATTGCTCCTCTCCTAATCCGGCTCCTTCTCACTATCGGATCCAAGAGGGGTACTTGCTTGTCCACACGCGGGGGAAGGACCTTCTTTGCGTACCGAGTGACCCTCACTTGCGTACACAGCTTCTTGGCGAGTTCCACGACGCTCCCGCCACTGGACATTTTGGAGTCAATCGCACGATTGGCCGACTTCGCCAGCGATTTTCGTGGCCCGGCCTTCTCGGCGACGTCACACGCTATTGCGAGTCATGCGAGGTTTGCCGACGCTGCAAATCCCGCAACCATCGTCCGTACGGCGAGTTACGACCATTGCCAGTTCCGTTGCGGCGAAGGGAAGCGATTGCCATGGACATTACCGGCCCGTTCCCCAAGCACAAGACCGGAGTGGATGGGATTCTCACGGTGGTCGACCGACTCACCAAGTTCGCCATGTTTYTGCCTTGTCGCTATCATGCCAAGGCACCGGAGTTGGCCGAGGTTCTGTGCGCCGGTTGGATTCGCACCAAGGGTTACCCCAAGGAGATCGACTGCCGGATGTTGAGTTGGCCTACAACTCTTCCATCCACCCGGCTATTGGGTTATCACCCTTCGAGTTCAAGCATGGCTCGCCGGTCACATCACCGTTGGACACTATTACTCCACGCACGGCGGAGAGCGACGACCATCTTCTCTTCTTGCGTCGGATGCAAGAGCTTCTTGTCAAGGCACGCGACCAGATGGCTAAGACGCAGCAGCGCATGAGCCAACAGGCAAATCGTCAGCGTCTTCCTTGTCCATTCCGCGTCGGGGACCTCGTCTGGGTTTCAGCAGCGGAATTCAGCCTTGAACAAGACGTCTCTCGCAAGCTCCTCCCGAAATGGATGGGGCCCGCTGGGGACGCACTCGAAGGACCCTCCTTCACGATTCAGGTGCCACTTGCCTGTCTACCTAGTCTTTCATTGCTCCAAACTGGCTCTCTACATGCCAGCGGATCATGACGACTTTCTCGGGAGACGGACGCAAGACCCACCTTCTATGGATGGTTTTCAGGAGGTCGGCGACATCATCTCCCAGCGACGCTACGGCAATAAGCCAACTGAGTATCTGGTGCATTTTGCTTACTGCACTCATCGAGCTGATTGCTGGTTAACCCGTGCGGAACTGCAAGCGACAGCTCCAGACGTTCTCGCACGCTACGAATGCAAGATGCAAGGCAAGCCGGTTTCTTCGGCTCCACGCCACGCCCGCGTCCAGGTTCCACCCTCAGATCGACGGCTTCGCCCTCGCCCCGGCTTGACTTCATAAGGAGGGGGGGGTGTTACATGCATCGCGTGCACACACGGGCCATTTTGCAGGCCCGACGGCCATTTTGCAGGCCCGACAGCGTTCAGGCCAAAAGCAACTTCAGGCCGAAAGCCTGAATTTTAGGCCAAAAGCCTGAAATCCAGGGCTTACAGGCCCCCTGTCGGTTCAGGCCAAAAGCCTGAAGTCCARGGCCTATCCCTGGTCGTTTCAGACTAAAAATGGCAACAGCCTTTTTAGCCTGAAACGAAGGGCCATTTTCGGTCATTCATTAGAACGACCGGCCCTGAAACTCAGGCACCGAACCAGGGTTTCGGAAACAGACTATTATTAGTCTGTTTCCCACGCCAGCCTCAAGCAGGCTGCTGCACGCCAGCCCCTGGCACACTTCGGCATTGGCAAGAGCTGCCTCCTCGGCCTGACTGGCCTCCAGCAGTTAGGAGGCAGGCCGAGGTAGTACATAGGACTTCCCAGGCACTTCCGAGGTAGGCAGTTCGGCAGTTGTAGTCTTCAGGATTCGGGAGCAGCACTCTGGAGGGAGCGCTGCAGTGTAGAGTAGTAGCGTTATCTTGTAGTCTTCAGCACTGGGCGCAGTAGGTAGTTGTAGTCTCCAGCGTTGGGCGCCATAGCTAGTTAGTACTAGAGAGAGAGAGAGAGAGCTTGGGCGGAGGCCAGAGGTACCTACCTGCAGCGCCGTTGCTCCAGCTTCGTCTTCGAGGTACCTGCAGCACAACGCCAACATCACAGGTTAGTACTTGGTTCGCAACAGAGAGAGAGAGAGAGAGAGTTCTTCTTCTTCTTCTTCTCAGTCCACCATCTCTTCTCTCCCTCTCACTTCTGACTTCACCGCATCTGCAGACTATGAGAGAAGAGATACAGAGCTTGGTGACATTTGATCCAGACTCGACTTTCGGGGATTCAGACATGGCAACGAGGGACTATTTGGGATTGGTGACCACGACTTGGTGTTAACGACATTCCCATCTTCTTCCCTCCTTTCGTCTGCCCCTTATCTCTTCGTCTGTGTATATCTGGACCTGGCGCTTTCTTCCTGTGTGCAGCGCCAGGCTCCTTCACACTTCGTGATGGATACAATGCATGTTAGTCTGAGTTCAAACATTGATTGGGCTAGTTAGAGGTACTCTAGCATTCTGCTTCGTTACTCTGAACTACGTGAATGAGGTCAGTCCTGTCAGGTCAGTCTTTGTATCAAAGTCTTCCCTGCGCTCTTCAACATCTTTATGTATGAATGAGAATGTACATTGCTTGTGGAGATTCTACTCGTACCGCATTGTCTATTCAGTCCTTTTCATCACATTGCAGATTCTCGGTTTATTACGTACATTGCATATCTGTGCATGTAACAGTTATGTCACCCAAACTTGCATACCGCAAACGAGGTGGAGCTCTCGGCTCTCCTTGGGCGGTGACTTCCAGGCCGCGCAGCCTCCCAGCAACCGGTACCTCCTCCCTTTTTGAGGGAAACATCATTGCAGGCTCTGATATCGTCCGCACACACCCTAGACTCAGGCTACTTGGACTGGTACAGGCCCAGATCTAGCCTACCAGCTACTGGGCCTCTAAAAATGCCAATCTTTGTCTTCTTCTGCTTGGCCTCCAGTGCTCGACACATTTTCCGCTACTTGAGTGGTACTGGCGTACCTGCTACTTGAGTGTTTCTCCCTATTGCTCTAAGTGTCAAGGGCCTACTCCCTTTCCCCGCTGCAACCTTGAAAGTCACGGCCACAAGTAAGTACCGGACTACAGGGTCTCCCAAGCAAGCCAGTACCCTTGCGGGTCACACACACACTCAGGCCGACAAGCACTCAGACAGGCACACAGACCATCAAGTAAGCACTCACAGACTTAGACATACGGCAAAGGCCATTTTGTGCCCGCCCGAAGTGAACGTGGGCGTGCATTTTCCTGCGGGCCTATTTTTGGCCTAGAAGTGCAGCGGGGCCCCGAGGTTGCTCGTGAGGTGGACGCTGGAAGAGAGTTTCCAGAAGGAACCCGCATGCTGGAAGCTGCCTAGCAGCATCTTCAACTACCGGGTAGGGACCGATAGTTGAAAACGCTGCTAGCCTTGGATGCTGAGGCCCAAGACCCTTACAGTTTGAGCGCCAGGCACATTCTGGAAGGGCCCAAGGCTGCAACTACTGGGACAGGGCACGCCGGTCCAGCCAGATTCCATAAAGGAAAGAGGCAGGCAAGTGGCAAACACATTATGTCTAGCTTCCTTGGCAACAGTGCTGTTGTGGCGTGATTTCTTGCCCTGGGCACGAGGGGAGTGGCAGGAGTGGATGAATCATCAACAGACCTTGAAATGTGGCATTGAAGGGCACATCATCCCATGGTGCCCCCTCGTCCAGAACCCAAAAGGGAGCAGCCAGTAGGAGTAGCATCTGCTCCTATTGAGTTGAAGGGTTCAGACAAAGGTAAGGCGCCTGAAACCCCTTTCAACCCCCCAACTCGCATGGCAGAGGATGACTCTTCTTCGGCCCATCACTCAGAACACCTTGAAATTGCCTTGTGTTTTGTTTCTCTGAGAGATTGCATTCAGAAGTTTGTGGCCTAAGAAATCAAAGTCTAAGGGTGAACTGATGATTGTCGGCATTGAGATTGCACACAGACGAGTAGGTGCTTTGCTAGATCCCGGGTCAACGCGGTCCTACATCTAAAAAAAAGCAATAAAGATATTGCATCTGAGAAGGAGACTGTAGAACCTTCCTCGACCTATCACGCCTATGCTTGCAGATAAAAGCACGGTTATTGTCTCTCAATATGTTAGTCGTGTGAAATGATGTTTTCGAACAAAGGAAGGAAATAAAATATTGCATGAAGTTACCTTCCTCATAGAGAAGAACCTGCCCTTTGACTTGATTCTGAGAATGGATTGGCACGAGGAGGCCGACCCAAATATCAAGTTCAAAGATAAAGATTGTTTTTTAAAGGATGAAAAATCCAACATGAAACCAATTAAACTTTTTCACAAGTTTGGTTCTGACTCATCACTGTCTTTCTGTTGTACGAGTCTTCCTGCTTTTCGAAGCATGGTTACAAAGAAGAAGTTGGCACAGGACGTAGTGATGATACTCGTAAAACGAGTCCGTGAGTGTTCTTCGTCCTATCCTCCTTCTGTTGACAAACTTCTTCACAAATTTGAGGACTTGCAGACTGAACCAACGAGAATAACTGGACATGCTATTAAGCAAACGATTGTGATCATTCCCGGAAGTACGATTCCCAAAGGACCTATTTACCAAATGTCTCCTAGGGAATTGGAAAAATTGAAGAAACAACTGCAAGAACTGATTGAAAAAGGATGGATTCGACCAAGTTCCTCTCCTTATCACCATAAGGAAAACTTAGACTGTGCACAGATTATCCAAGATTGAATTCCGTTACTGTGAAGAATGCGGAACCCCTTCCTCGCATTGACGACTTGCTTGATCAGTTGCAGGGATGTAAGTATTTCAGTACGATTGATATGAAGTCAGATCAAGGTGGCACCTAAAGATCAACACAAGACCGTCTTCCGAACCAAGTATGGACACTGAGTTTGTGGTTATGCCTTTCAGATTGACTGACGCACCTGCTACTTTTCAAATGTCTATGAATAAGTTATTTCGTCAATGGTTGGATCAGTTCGTAGTAGTGTATCTCGATGAAATCCTCGTGTATAGTAAGACACTTGAGGAACATGAGAAACACTTGTGAATGGTTGTACAGAAGTTGCAAGAGGGCAAAAATAAATTGAACCCTAAGAAATTTGTTTTTGCTAAACTCGAGGTACTATACCTTATACATATAGTGAACGAAGAAGGGTTATTCGATCAGACTTGTCTTCCCCGACACTCAGCATGCGTACAAACAAATGACAATCAAGTTGGCGACTTGCCCCCACACAAAGCTCAGAGATAATGAAGGCAAGAACGAAGCTCATATTCAAACTTGTCTCGGCCGGCTATGGTCGATCCTCCTTTGCTCTCAGCAACTTGTTCGCACACACACCTTGGATCTTCTTGGATGTCCCACATACACTAACACAACACACTCATACACACACTAACAACCTACTCTTGCTGACGTGGCAGCTATGGTTGTCGTCTCTCTCCTTCACTAACAAGCTATCGACTATGGCCGTTCTTCCTCCTCTTAGCCCTCTTCGTCAACAAGCACCTGCAGACCTTCGCACACAAGACACTTCGACAGCGCTGCATGACTCAAGAAGAATGAATGAATGACTGATTGCTGCCTCTTTATTTATACTTTGGATTGTCGCTGGTCTGCCTTTCTCCATCGGACCGGGTACCGCTGATTGAGCAAGGTAAGATTGCCCACTTGACCACTTGCCTACGGACTGTCTACTAGGACTCACAAAGGGTCAGTTCCAGACCTTCTGGAAGACTGTGGACTTGACCCCTTCAGTGCTGTAGTAGCTATAACTTGACCTTTCAACATTGTATCAGCTACGACTCCTACCATTGCTAAGACCTCTAACCTACAGACCTACGGTTCAAGACCCGACGACCACCCTACCTACAACAACAAACAAGCGACTTTCAAAGACACAGGTCGTGGGTTGGAGCACACACAGGTCGACTGATACTGTAGACGGGTAAGGGCGAGGTCTGGGGATCGAGCTTTGGGAACTGCAACTGCTACCAGAAAGGTGAAAACCGTTTCACTCCCGCCGGCCTAAATTCGAGGTCCTCCGAGAATATTTCAATGTATTGCAGGATCTTTACCTTTGTTAGCTCTTTCATAGGCACAAACTATGTGGGAAGCTGTTTCTAGAAGTTTTGTTCGCGTAAACCATTGATTGTCCTCGGGCTCTTGGTAGGTGAATCAGACCTCGTACCGTTTCTGTGGACGACCTCTTCCTCCTGCCCTGAATACATCTTCATCTACTATGCCATCAATGTCGTACCTTCCATCCATATCCGCTTCTCGATGGGAATCTTGACTCGTAGTACAAGGCAACAATTTGGACACATGGAAAACTAGGTAGGCGTGGAGGTGTGCTGGAATTTCTACTGTGTAGGACGGTCCGTCGTCCCCGCCTTTTGACTTCTAGAACTTGCCATGGTCCTCTAAACGCAGCCAACAATTTTTGCTAGATGTTCTCCTCAGGAGTAAGCTCTTTGGACTTGACCCAGACAAGGTCGCCTACTTGAAACTGTGACAGGCGACGATGCTTGTTGGCTTGCTCTATCATTTTGTGTTGGGCCTTCTTGAGGTTATCTATCACTTCGGCAATTTCCTTTTCGTGTTGTAGCGCAAACTCCTTAGTACCGGGCGGTAGCCTTTGAATCTGGTCCCGGTTCAGTCCCTCGAACGGTGTGTGGGGTCTAAAGGACTTGTGTAATTCGTTGGGAGTGCGACAAGTGGCTAGATGAACGTTGTTATTATAAGCATTGGCTACCTTTGGGAGCATCTCGTCCCAGTTGACTTGATCTGGTGTAATGTACATTCTCAGGATTTGTTGCAGGATCTTGTTCATCTGTTCAATCTGACAGTTGGTCTCTGGATGACGGCCATACGACATCAACAACTTAGAACCATATATTTTCATATGTTCTTGCCAGTTTTGACTAGTGAACCTGGTATCTCTGTCACTAACGATTGACAGCGGTAGACCATGCTCACTGACCCAATGATAGAAGAACTTTTCTATAAATAGATCAGTACGTGCATCGGCAGGCAAAGGGACAAAAACTGCATACTTGCTAAATCTATAAACTATAACCATGACTTGGATCTTGCCATGCTTACTCCTGACCCCAGTATCCATGAAATCAATGGACACAAAATCTCCAGGTCTTGATGGGATAGGCAGAGGTTTGGGAAGACCCAATGGCGCTCTCATTGTAGTTTTGTTGTGCGGCATACCTTACAACTACACACATGCTCTTATGCAATCAGCTTTCATGCCAGGCCACGTGTAGGTGCGTATCAGGTTAGCGAGTGTCTTTTGCCAACCGAAGTGCCCTTCTGTATCGTGACATTCTGTAAGGATCAGACTGCGAATCTCTTTGCTATTGGGAATGCATAGCCGATCTACGACATCTGTCTTCTCAAACAGTAACCATTTGTGGTGCGGTAACGAGGTTCACTGGCCGGATCCTCCTTAAACCACCAGTACACGGCTTCAACCTTGCAGCAAAATAAATTGTTGCCACAAGAAGTAAAAGGCGGGCACGGGGCAGGGTCGGAGCGTCATAAGGTTTTCAATTTTTTGGGCCCATGTCAAATCCGTATGTCCCGAAAAACAAAACAAGCGTTGGTCGTAATTGCAGCTGGATACACTTTTTGGAGTACTGCCCTCAGTGAGGGCACTTCGGCAGAACGAGGAACACGGGGAGCACGATTGTCAGACTCACAAAAAAAGGAGGAGGAAAAAAAGCCAACAAAGCTTTGGCCGTGAAAATGGTTGGATGCATTTCAACGGCGCTAGTGTGAGTATGCCCTTAGCGAGGGCATTTTGAGCAAGAGGAATATGCGCTGCCTTGCTGGCAAGGAAAGGAAGAAAAAAACAAACAGAGAAAAAAAGAAAAAACATATTTTCCCTCTCCCCGTCATAGTGGTCAGATGCATTCTTGAAAGTGATTGTTTGAGTATGGCCTCCATGACGTCCTTCCACGACATCATTGATCTTTGGCATGTTTTTTCCTTTCTTTTTTTCTTCCTTCAGGTAGACCGTCGACACTGGTGCCACTTCCAAAATTCCCATTTCAGGTTCCCACACGCAAAAGGCTCGGAAAATAGCGGCACGCAGTGGTAAGGTAGCTTTAGGTGCGGGTGTACAAGTGGTTTAACTCTCTTGAGGACGTCACTATGGATAGGGTCTTGCACATACGAATCTATGACTTTTTGCTGTAAGTCTGACCCTATATCCAGATAGTGAAGCATAGCTCCAAAGTAGTCAGCTGTCCTACAAAGGGCATCGACAACCACATTATACTTTCCTTTGACTGGCTTCAACTCGAAGTCGAACTGATCTATCTCAGCGTCCCACCTAGTAAGCTTAGGTGTCAGTTTGGCCTGCGTCTTCAGCCACCTCAATGTCTCGTGGTCTGAATAGAGTTTGAAGTGCCTCCCAAGCAAGTACTGTCTACAGTGGTCTAATGATTGCCTAAGAGCATATAGTTCCCTCTCATAGGTGGATATCTCTACCTTCTCTGAAGGTAACCTAACGGACATGAACTCTACGGGTCTATACCTATTGCCATCATCTTGCTGTAAGACAACACCAATACCATACAGCCTCGAATCAGTGGTAACAACAAAGGGTAAGGATGGGTCAGCTACCTTGAGGACTCGGTACCCTATCAAGGCCCTCTTTAACTTCTTAAGGGTTGATGTACAGTCTTGGTCCCGCTTCCAGATTGCATCGAACGTCCGAACATGTTCGGGTGTTCGGCCGAACGCCACCGGAACATGTTCGGCCGAACATATTCAAAAAAAAAAAAAAAAAAAAAAAAAAGCATG